CTTAAGAAGACAGCACGGAGATAGCCCGACGCTGAGCTTACTCGGTGAGGAAGAACAAGAACCGCCAGACCGACCGCCCGACTAAAGTCCAATCAGCTCCCCTCGACGGAGTGGTGACTCATAAAGCGCACAGGCAAAAACGTCCGTCAACCATTACCTGAGAGGCCGACGCGGCGTGAGGAGAGAGAAAAATCGATCAGCATGAGGCCGGCCAACACAGCTTGCCACTTAAAATTAAATTTCTGATCGATTAGGTGCAGTTTACGCTTTGACAATGAAGAGCCGACCCAGCTCTTTGAAACGTCAGCAGTTAAATAAACCTGTTCCGGAGAGCCAATTTTCTTCTTCTAAAAACCGTTACTTGCCATGCTAATGGCTCTGTGTTTAGCCCTGTGTAAGGCACATCCAAACGAGTGACTTCCGTAATAACGATCGGTGAGCGCCCCCTACCATTGTATATTCCCGATCGAAAACCGACAGGGCAACGGGCTCGTGGCTCGGTGGTTAGAGGCGCGGACTTTTAACTAACAGGTCGCGAGTTCGAGCCTCGGGTCTTCCACACTTCAGGATTGGGTATGACTGGCTGACGACGGCTAATAAGCCAGAAATTGCCATTCCAGTCTCACTATTGTCTTTGTCGGTAATGCCAATCTGCGTATATCATGCACCGCTGTGCGGCTGCTGGTTGGGATCGAGAAAGAGCCCCTAAGGCACATTGGAACGAGTGACTTCCATAATAACAATCGGTGAGCGTCCCCTACCCATGTTATCATTGTATATATGCCTTTCGAGCACCCGTATCTGTGTTCTCGAACTTTCCAGTATGCAGAATTAGTCATCGTACGTGAATTATCAGTTGAGTCGAAACTTGGCACACCTTTACCACTTCAGAGCAGAATTATTTTCAGCATAATTTCCTTTTTTCTCAGATATACTCCTGCAACACTAGGGATGATCCTGCGTTCGAACTCGAACCGTTTGATCAAGGGACATTTGAGTCAGGTTCAGCCAGTTGATATGATCCATAGTTTTGAGTGCTGCTTAAAATGGTGCTCAGAGATATACTGTGATTGTAAGATGGAGTGCGGACCATCATGTTTTCGCATGGATTCCCAGTAAACAGCCTCCCAGATCATTTATTTGACCCCGTTGTGTTGAACCCTATGATGGCCTTCGAGTGGAAGTCCAAGACAACACTCAGTCACCTGTACCCCCTTCCGATAATCAACATAGATCGATAAACATTATTTCTGCATGAGATGCCTTCATTTTCGGACTGCGTCTAAATAGCGTGTTCGGCGCGAGCTTCAATCGATCAAGAAATTTCAAGAGCGTTAAAAAGACGGACCATTGTTCGTATGCACTTTTTAAAGTCCGCGTCTCGTGGTAGTTGTGCACATTCTACTAGTTTTTTGATATAGGATGCAGTATGTTTTAAGACCTTTAAAATACCACCAAAATTTGTAGCCTACTTAAACAAAATGGCCCCAGTTTTCGTGGTTGATGAAGGATCGCAGTGGAATGAAGCGCCATTCTGCGCCTCATGCGCGGTGACTGCCTGACTGACAATTAAGACACCTGCTACTACTCACTGACTGGTCCTCTGATGATCCGAAAATTAATAGTGTCTAATTGCACATACAGTAGGTGGGCTAACTCATGAAATGTCAACCGAAATTCCCAAATGTATCTTTGTTTCGAAAAGATTAATTAAGCGGGATTGTAAAACCAATTATCTTGCAGCATAATTCTACAATAATTCAGTTACCATAGGACGCCGGCTTTCGAAAGAACTTCCTTCCAGCTGCATGCAAAAACCACACTCTGTAAAAAATGGCTACTTAGGTAGCATGAATTTTCCTCATTGATTTTCGATGCCCTTAAAAATTCAATTATGTTTCATGGAAAACATGTCCAAAAATATTTATTCTTTTGCTCATTTGGTACAAAATTACCTCTTCTTCTAATCTTTTACTCGAAGAAGGGTATAAGTCCGTTTTCAACAACTTTTCCAATTCCCGAATAATTTTGAACCCGCTCTACCGTTACACTTGGATTCAGTGTTTGCAAACTACAAGCCGTATATTTTCCGCGTACGGAATGCCATAAATTTCTCTACGGTAATTAAGGGGGACCATATAGGGTTCATAAAATTAGGCAGTGGATTTGATTCATATTGTTAACTTTACAAGCCACACTGGTAAATGCAGAGACAAAGTGATTTATGAACAGCCATTTCACGTTATTTGAAAGTCCCACAATTAGAAACTTCTTTTAGACCGAATTATGCCCCTCCTTCAAGGATAGAATTAGAAGAAGATGTAATTTTCTACCGAACGAGTAAAAGAATGAATATTTTTATGCATGCTTTCCATGAATTACAAGTGGACTTTTAGGGGCATCGAAAATCAAGGAGGAAAATTCGTGCTAAGTAAGTAGTCATTTTTTACAAATTGCAGTTTTTGCATGTGGTCGGAAGGAGGCTCATTCAAAAGCCGGCATTCTGAGATAACTGAAATATTATAGGATTTGGTTGCGAGCTGACTAGTTTTACAACCCTACTTAAGTGACCTTTTCGGAACGAAAACACATTTCGGAATTTCGGTGGACATTTCACGAGTTAGCCCACCTACTATATTTGACGGTTAATCAACGGAGAATCATCTGCATCGGCAAGTAGTCTTTGTTGTGAGGGTACCTGTCTGACATGCGGCCGCATATTTTGTGCGGATTGGAAAAATACCCTGTGGAGTGTGTCGAGACCTTTAAATGATTATGCGGTTACAAGACCATGCAGGAGGTTGGGACGAAGTCACCTTTGCCTTTTAGATGTCGCCCTGTATGGCATTGTTCTGAACGCTTTGTTATATTGTCTGCGAATTTCGCCTGACAGCATAGTATATAAAGCAATTTTCTTAAGCATCGAGGACAAAGG